AACAGACAAGTTGCTGTTCTTTTGTTCTTCAGTCTAGTTGTGGAGGACGTCACTTCACTGGCCCATGTTGGTATTGTGATCATTGCGCTCTTCCCGGGTGAGGCAGATCAGTTGCCAACCCTTGGACGGCTGCTCACAGCGGCTCTTGGCAGCTCACGCCGACTGCCAGCCGCTCAGGCTGGCTACTGGCCACTCATGGTAGCTTATGGCAGCCCACTGCAGCAGGGACTGCAGCCTACGCCGTCGCCAGCGACTCACGGCAGCCCAGCTCCAGATCAAGCTGTTGTTCAGCATCTTAGCTGTAGAGGGCGCAGCGTCACTGGCCCTCATGTGGGATCCAAACCAGCGGCCCAGCCGTTCAGAGCTGGTGTCCCAAGCCAACTCGTAACCAGCACACCACTCGGCCTGCTGAAAAATGAAATATCATTTTTAAAAAGAATTAGAATTGGTTTGTGTGGAGACAGACAGTTTTACCATGAGCCTCTTGATCATATAAGGGGATGGTGGACCATAAGCCCAGGAAGACGGGTTGGTACAAATTTGATGAACCAGAATACTTGTATCTTTGTGACTACTGTTGCCATTGTCACTGTGGTTTTTGTGGTGGTTATAGTTTATCTTCTCCCAAAGAAAGCATAAAAAACAAACAAAAATATTAGCACAGCAAACCATAGTTTTTTTGGTACAATTATAGTTAATTGTAGCCGTTGTCAAAGACCAGTGTTCCCAAACCTTGTTCTTTCAAGCGTTTTTGTCATCATTATAATTCATCATTTTTCATGGTTTGGAAAACACTGGTGTAGAAGCATCCATTCGGTGAAGCTGCCTTGTCATTTAGGCTTTGACTGGAGCCCTTGTACTAAGCCACACATGTATGCATGTTGGCTTTGCAATGAATGAAGTTCACCCCATCTGAGTATTAGCTTGCTCTAATAAAGTCTAAAGAACTATTAGATGGTTTCTTTTTGGAAAGAGTATTTTAATATTTAATGGCTTGCCTTCACTAGATCATAATTCACCTGCCATGTTCCTTAATTAATTTTTGTGATACAAACATTTATTTCTTAATATTGCTTAAGATAATCAAGCAATATTAAAAATATGAAATTTAAAGTATTACTTGAAAATTAAGTAATATTAAAATAATTATAACAAAAATAATATCACAAAACTTCAGCAACAGTTAAAATATTGAATTTAAAATACTATTTTAGTAAATTACTCTTATAGCCTCTCAATTATTACAAAGCAGTTATAGCTCTCAAATGCTTTGCTTGTGTCATAATTAAAGCCTTCACTTAAAGAAAAACAGTATTATTATTTTTTTAAATTTTTTCAAGCATATTTAAATTGTTTCTAGCAGTTAAAAAGGGTTCTAAGATGTGTTTCCTAATCTTTCATAATTTTACCTTTGGAAGTTTCTATTTGTGTAGGCTGGCTTGATGTCTTATCTATGTAATAAAATAATGCAATTTTATTAAAATGACGTACTTTTGTGTCACATTAGACCTTTGTGGCAATAAAAAGGCATTGTTGGCAATAAGCTGTGTTTTTTAAATTCTATGTAAAACATTACTTCACACTTCCCATCGTTTAATGGAACAAATATGCATGGCCTGCTTGATGGCTTCTTCATATTAGGACTAGATTACAGGGCTTCGTGCTTATTTGCACAGAAATCTTGTCAAGGAAAGGAATGTTTTTAGGTCATTTGTAGTTATCAGCTGCTAAGAATAATCACATAATAGTAAACTTGGAATGTAAATTTTGATGCATTCTTCTTATAATGAAGTCTGCTCTGCCTGCTGGATGCACGATTCATTCAAGATTGACGATTGGTTTTCAACAAGGAAAGGAGGAAGGGCATATTTCCCAACAGTACATGTATTTAAGCAAGAGCTTGGATCTACAAGTCTAAATTATCTCCAGACTGAAAAAAATGTTCAAGTAGAGACTTGATTTAAAAGTTCTGACCTATCCTGAAGGAACCCGTTTCATTCCAGCCCCCATACGGTAGTTTTCTTAGTGTCATTTGGAAGTTGTCAGGTTGACTGTGGAATTTCCCCCCTACTTACAGAAATCCCTGGGCCTTTCCAAGTGTGCTGTAGTCTAAAAGTATGCTGTAGATCTTCTTACCCCAAGAGCATTTATAGGAAACTTCAGCTCCTAATATGCTCAACTGATTAATCCTTCCAGATTCTTTAAAAAGGCACTATCACTGCTAGAAAGAACATGGGAGACTTTGGGGCTGACCTGAGTTTAAAATTACTCAGCCAGTTACTTGCTTATGTGACTGACTTTGAACAAGTAATTAACAACTTGATACCTCAGTTTTCTCTATAAAATGGATAACGTTTCGTAGACTTGTGAGAATCAAAATAGTTAACATAAAGCTTTTAGCATAGTACTAGATAGTAAGTACTGTATATAAAGTAGTTAATTTACTGAGTATATGTTTTTGTGTGTGTTCCATAGGCTATTGTGTTCTCCTATAGAGCATATAATAATTCTAGTCCTATTTGATTGTTTTTTTTTTCTTTTTCAAAGCTTATATTTTATAAACAGTGATGAAATTTGGGGTGAAATCACTTACCTTGATGTGTTTACCTAATTTTTCATGGCTGTTGCAGGCTATGCATTCCTTCTCTTTCAAGAAGAGAGCTCAGTTCAGGCACTAATTGATGCTTGTATTGAAGAAGATGGAAAGCTCTATCTATGTGTTTCTAGCCCTACCATCAAGGATAAACCAGTAAGTAACTACTGTGTGAACTGTAAACTACAAATGCAAGTTTTCCAAAAACTGTTTTGAAATGATTGTTAGTGGAAAAAAATTAAACCACCACATTAAGAGTTCAGTTGTTTAAGATGTGGATACTTTATAGTTCCTAGATAAAAATTAAAAAGTAATAATAATTTGTTTCCAAATCCAATTATCTAAAAATTTAAACAATAAAAGGACCGCTATTAACTAGCACAAGACAGTATAAGCTATAAAGGGAATAAGACCAAGTAAAGTAATGTCCTTTTTTTATAGGTTCAGATCCGTCCTTGGAATTTAAGTGATAGTGATTTTGTGATGGATGGTTCTCAGCCTCTGGATCCTCGAAAAACAATTTTTGTTGGAGGTGTTCCTAGGCCACTAAGGGCTGGTAAGTAGAATGTTGACAAATTATGTGTGTGTGTTAAATCATTTAAATATGAATTAATCAATTCAGTAAACATTTGCTAGCTCTTGTGTACATGGCACCATTGGGCAGGCCAGGGGCAGACTCCTCATGCCTCAGTAGTTGCTAACTACATTATTCTGAGACAAATGCTGAGAATCATGCTCGAAACCATCAAGTAACTGGAGACTTGGACAGTCATCTATCCATATTAATAGCTAACTCCAAACAGACTCTATAAGAAGAATCTACTCAAGTACTTCTGACTTCTTAAGTGTCACTCTCAATTTTTTTGGTCTGTTTATTTTATGTGGGTTGTTCTGATATTTGAAGGAGAAATATGGGATTTTTTTTAATAGCACTTTAGATAAATGAGTGATAAACTCCTGTTCGTCAGTAACCAGGAACCAGAGATTTACCTGAAGATGTCATAGAGGAACACAATTATAGATGTATTGGGTTGTTGAAAAAGTCATGATGCGTTTTTGCATCGAAAAACATAGAAAAAATACATCATGGCTTTTCTGACAACCCAATAAATGACCACTATATAAGCGGTGTATCCTGTGAAGTGTATTAGTGCCTGCCATCACTGAGAACATCCTTTTCTAGATAGGAGATGCAGGTTAAAAACTATTCACACATGTAAATACTTGCAGAACGTAACTGCTACAAAGAAAACCTGTAGGGAATAGAAGAGCATATGGCAAGGGAATGTGATGCAGTCTGATATTTTAAAGATACTTGTATTCGAGCTGACATATAAAGATTGAACAGAAAGAGTAGGTTTGGGTAGTAGGAAGAGTTGTGAGGAGTTTTCAGGTAAAGGAAACAGCATATTCAAAGGACTTTGTGGAAGGAAGCAGACTGCATTAGAGGGACTGAAAGAAGCTCAGAGGTTGATTAGGGATATAAGAAGTGAGGGGAGAGGCACAAGAAGACACTGAAAAAATAAACAGGAGTCAGGTCATACAGGTCTAATAGGCTAATTTGGTATTTATCATCAAAGCAAGGGGAAACCAATGAAGCGTTTTTAATCAAAGGAGAAACATGATCACATTTGTGTTTTTGAAAGATCAGTTTAGCTAATGACTCATGAAGGGGAGAGCCAGGTTGAAAGTAGATATTTGTAGACCAATTTAGTTGCCCATGACTGCAGTCCAGGAGACAGATAGTGGTGGCTTGGATTAATGGTGGTATTGGGGAAAGAGCCAAGTTAGCTGATGTCACAAGGTAAATGCGAAGGTTGAATCTCAGCTTTCACTCTCAACCCACTAAGTCAGCTGTTCTCAACCTGTGGGTCGCGACCCCTTTGGGGGTCGAACGACCCTTTCACAGGGGTCACCTAAGACCATCAGAAAACAAAAAGATATTTACATTATGATTCATAACAGTAGCAAAATTACAGTTATAGAGTAGCAATGAAAATAATGTTATGGTTGGGGGTCACCACAACATGAGGAACTGTATTAAGGGGTCGCGGCATTAGGAAGGTTGAGAACCCCTGCACTAAGTAGATAGTGATACATTTTACTAAAATGAGGAACACTAGAAAAGGAGCAGTTTGGAGGGAAGATTTGGGTCTTGGTTTTGAAAGTAAGTCTGTGACACTGTTCAGAGCTCCCAAGTAGAAATTCTAGTTAAGCCCTTAGTATCTGATACAGGTATCTCCACCTGTCAAAAGCTTGCCTTACTTTACACTACTTCACTTTTACAAAACACATTAGTACCTGTTTTACCTAACTAAAAGAAATTTTAAGAGGATTTTTGCTTTTAAATTTTGCTAACCTTTACAAAAGTTTTCATAGGAATCCTCTACTTTCAGATAGTGGGGGAAACCTATATATGTGTATATTTTTTTAAGAGAATCACTTGCTGTTTTGCACATAAACTTAGGGGGGATCGGAAGCGAATAGATAAGGCTGTTGCCATGATCCAGATGAAAAATAATGGTAGTTTAGAACGATGTTGGTGAGGTAATTGGATTCTAGATATGTCTTGAAAATCAGGTACACAGAACTGCCTGTTCAATAGGGGAAAAGGAAATAAAAAGGATGAAGCCAGCGTCCTGACCTGGCAACTTCGTCTTTTCTGTTGCTCTAGCTGAATCAGTACAAACTCACTGGGGCAGGTTCATGGGATGGGGGCTGGTCAGGAGTGCACACACACTGAGTGTCACAGTGTCTGTGAAGTATCAGTGTGCGTTGTCCAGGGGAGAGGCCCAGGCAGGAGGAATGTAGGAGCTGAAAACAAGTAGATGGGATGTAAAGCCATGACACACGATAATGTCACCCAAGCCAGTGTAGAGAGATGTCCAAGGACTGGAACCTAGGATACAGTGAAAAGTCAGGGAGTTGAGGAGGACTAACAAGGAAGAGTAGGAAGGAATTACAGTGAGGTAGGAGAGTTAGAATACTGTGTCCCGGAAGCCAGGCCGAAAATACTTCAAGGAGAAGGAAGAGGTTAACTGTGTTCAGTGCTGCTTACAGGTGGATTGTCAATGAGGAAGGTGACCATGACATGAACAACTGAAGTGGAGTTTTGGGGTGAAAGTCTGGTTTTGAAGGTGGAACAAGGAAAGGGAAGAGAGGGATTGAGAAGTATAGAAAGTTTTTAGCAATTTGGCTATAAAGGGGAACAGAGAAATACAGCAGTTACTGAAAGGGAGAAACAGGGTTAAGAGATTTTTGTTGTGGTTGTTAAGATGGGACAAGTTACAGTATTCTTGGGAAGGATCCGGTATATAGAGAAAAACGAATGGTACAGAAAGCTGAGAAAATTACAAAAGTAATTCTTCTGTAGTGAGAGCAACTGGGATTTAGTATAAAAGTGAAAGGACTGGATTTAAAAAAGAGCATGAAATTATTTCTTCTATTGACTTTTACTTTAAAAAAAAAAACTACTTAAAAGTTGTTGATTTACTGTGTTGTCTCATATTTGATGTGAACGTCTTTCCCTCCTGAAGTGGAACTTGCTATGATCATGGACCGGCTATATGGTGGAGTTTGTTATGCAGGAATTGATACAGATCCTGAGCTAAAATACCCCAAAGGTGCTGGCCGAGTTGCTTTCTCCAATCAGCAGAGCTACATTGCTGCCATTAGTGCTCGGTTTGTTCAGCTTCAGCATGGTGACATTGATAAACGTGTAAGTTGCATATTGAGTAATCACTCATGTCCTATACTAAGGTGCTGATACAAAGCTTACTACCCTGTGGAGTTTATAAGTCAAACACTGAATGTTTTTATATTCCCTTAACTCTTAAAGATATATAGTATATCAATATACCTCTGAAATGTAAAATTTTTTAATGTACTTTAAACTTGAGGTATAATATAGAAAATATAAATGTCATTTTAAGACATGTCAAAGTTTTGTATCAGCCAATAAGGCCTTAATATCTTTCCGATCATGGAGGCACAGTTTGTTTTAAGAGCTTGTACTCTGGAGTCAGACTACCTGGGGTCCCATTCCCACCATTTGTTCTGTAATGCTGGGCAAATGAACCCTCTTTGTGCCTTTTCTCTTCACTTATAATATGGAAAACAATAATATCTCCCTCACAGTTATTTTGAGGGTTAAATGAATTCACATATGTGCAAGCGCTTAGAGCTTGGTACTAAGTGCTATTTAATGTTACTTATTTTTCATTTGTTATAAAATCTAAAATAAAAATACAATAATAAATATACAAATAAACTAAATATACAAAATAATCGTCCTAAATTTTAAAACACTCTTAGTAGCATTGCTTGTATCACAATAAGAACTTCTAGGAAGTCCTGTGGATGCTAATTGAAAGCCATCCCATTGAATAATTCTCAGTACTGATTATAATCTAAACTAGAGGATAAAGGAGTAAACAAAACTCAGTTGTTCGTTTATAAGTGTATTTCATACTAAAATCTGTGAATCATTCTTGTGTAAACCTAAGCAATGTTCTAAAATAATCATGTTTACATTTATAATACAGATGAGATATACTAACAATATAAGGTAAATTAACTTTTTTATATCTAAATTAGTAGATATAACTTGAGTGGGTTATTTTCCCAGTGTAACAATGTCTTGAACCTTCTTCCCTGAGGCCATTTGCACGATAAGAGACTGTTTGGGGGTCAGGGGAGCTGGTTAATTAATGCTAATTGACTAGGCCTATGGACTCTAGAAATGTCTTCAGTTGCACTACCAAACCATCCCATTTATTGGATTGTCAGAAAAGTCATGACGCATTTTTGCAACTAAAAACATAGGAAAAATACGTCATGACTTTTCCAACAACCCAATAGAAAAGAAGTACAGCATAGGTTCAGTGTATACATGCAGAGTGGCTTTTTTTGTTTGCATTGCTACTTAAAGTATTGCAAAAAAAAGTAAGAGAAGAGGCTCTGCTTTTATTCAGACATGCGTATGAAAATTTTTTGAACTGGTTTGAACTTCAGAGTTTCTCTAATTCAGTGGTTTTCAAACTTGGCTGCACATTAAAGTCACCTGGGAACTTGAGAAAAACCTTGACAACTGGGCCTCACCCAGAGATTCCTGCTGTAATGGGTCTGGGATGCAGCCAGGGCTCTGCTGGTGGTTCTAACGAGTGGCCACTTTGGACCATTGATCTAGCCAGCCCCTCCTTTTGCAGACAGGTGATAGAGTCTCTGAGGAAATTAGTTACACTGTATAATTGTAGTTGTTTAATGTGCAGAAGCAGAGGGGAAAGGTCAATGCGTATCAAACCTCAGACCTCTTTGTTTCTGAAATGATGGTGAAGGACCAGTTATTTGGGGCAGGCTATTCTTAAAAAGCAACTCCGATGCAGAGCAAGTGAATTGAGAAAAACACATGCTTTCTTAGAAAGGCACAACGTGAGAGGAGAGTTTATTTTTTAAAATTATCTGCTACTAAGATATTATGGAAAATAAGAATAGGTGAATAATTGATGAAACTGTTTCACACATGCAACAGTTGTTAGAGATTATTATTAATCAGAAATAGATTTTAATTATACTCTAAAATCACAAATCACTTTGAAATCTAGTTTTCCATCTTTGAAATGTATGATTTTCAGTTAGATTAGCTTTATAAAATAATATCTAGATTTAAAAATGCAAATAATTGAAATCATTGCATTTATAAAATTGTATTCAGTAGTTTTCCATAAAGTAACTTCTGAGTACCTACACCTAGCATTTTATGAGGTATTATGGAAATGAAGTAAACAGTACAGAAACTGTCTCCAGTTTGCTTAAAATCCATGGCAAGAAATAACCATGAGAAAGAAAAAACAGAAAACATTTGTAAATATCCCACATTTATTCAACTATTTATAGAGTTTCAACTTTATGTTAGATATTCTGCTTTGTACTAGTCCTGGGATTTATCATCTGACGAAATGAAATCCAGTACTTCTCATGCTACCTTAATATATTCAGTGATCATAGTAAAGTTCTTTAGTTATAGTTATAATGAAGATAATGAATCAAAAATAGTAGCCTGGCACTCAAGATAAAATCCATAAGGGAAAAAGATGAAAGATAAAGATTGAGCATAAAAATTTTAGAATTTGTATCAAAGATTGTTTTAAAAATAAAAGGCCAATGGAAAAAAAGGTTAAAAATCTTTAACTGGCAAAGGGAACTTATAAATCAATAAAAAAAAAAAACTCCAGCAAGAAAATATGCATAAGATACAGACAATTCAGAAAAGCAAAATGTCCAATATACATAAAATATGTTTATCCTAACCCTAATTAATGAAATATAAATATAAACAACACTGTAATTCCACTACCTTCCTATGAAAGGTTTGTTTTAGTCCTTTTCATCAGTTTTTAGGTTGTTTGTAATTTGTTTTTGCTTTTACAAGTAATGCTGTAGAAAATACACTTATATGTTCAGTTTCTGCACACATGCAAGTATTTCAGTAGAATACATTCAGAATAGAAATTGTTGGGTCATTTTCTACTGCCGGCAAATGCTACCTTATCTCAAACCAAGCTCTTGAAACACTCAGTTTTTCTCTGTGCTCCTCAGGGACTGCTGAGATCTTAGGCTGCTGGACACCATTCAGTCAGACAAAAGTAGTAACCTTTTTGTTCATAAAGTTAATACAAGCAAGAAAGCAAGGCTATCTCAGTTAATAGTAGCTAATGCTAATTTACAGAGTATTTATTTTCCTTGTGCCAAGCACTATCTTAAATGCTTTTACTTGCATAATCCAATCTTCACTCTGTAAGGCAGGTTCTTTTATCCTCATTTAACAGATGTGGAAACTGAGGTTAGTGTTCACACCTTACTTGAGTCCGAGGTCTCCTACCACGTCAGGCCTTCACAGTGGAACTTCGACTTAATATTTTATAAATTCACAGAGGTATAGACGTGCCCTCAATAGCATTATCTTCCGTTCTTGCTCTGTACCAGCTATTTACAAGCAGGGTACAGCTTTCACTGCAGAAGAGAAGACCTGCCATAATTAGTGGCTATTAGGGACATGCCATCGCATGGGTGGTATTGGAATGAAGAAAAAGGTGTAAAAACCGTTTGTCTTCCATGACTGCTTGACATCCCTTTACTTTTTCACTCATAGTCATCCCTATCTCTGAAAATATTAGCACACAGGTGTTTTTAAGATCTTTCTTCAAGAAAGGCGAGAGTGGAATGTTTTCCTAGTCAATTAGATTTTTATAGTTTTTAAAAGTATTTTTTGTCTTTGGAAAATATAGTAAATACCATTCAGTTTATAGCCTTCTGAAGATTATAATACCAAAAATATAATAAAATTACCAAACTAAGCATTCGTTTAATCATATGGTCAATTATGAACATGAAACATCATGTAGGAAGATGATTAGCACAAGAACAGAATGATTTTATTTTCTTAACCGACTATATGGTAAAGCTATTTTCCTGGCAAGCTGCCTACTTTCTCAACATTTAATGCTGGTCCTTTTCTCTAGAACACACTAGGAACATTTTAAACTATTACTAAAATGATTTCTGAAGCAGACTTAATGAGACAGTTTTCCTCTCTTTCTAGGTAGAGGTAAAGCCATATGTGCTCGATGACCAGATGTGTGATGAGTGCCAGGGCGCACGCTGTGGTGGAAAATTTGCTCCCTTTTTTTGTGCCAATGTCACTTGCCTGCAGTATTACTGTGAGTTTTGTTGGGCAAATATCCACTCTCGTGCAGGACGTGAGTTCCATAAGCCATTGGTAAAGGAAGGTGCCGATCGCCCACGTCAGATCCACTTTCGCTGGAACTAAGAAAAGCCGCCCCGGCCTCGGGAACAAGGAAGGAAAGGGTGCATGTGGCTCACTGTGTCTGGAGACACTGCCGGCAGAAGAGACAAGTGCGTTCTTCTGCTATCACCCCGGCTATCAATACATGCATCTCTATCAGCAGCCCAAACACTACAAGCCTCTTGTTTTTCACCAAAACCCTACATCTCAGGCTTACTGATTTTTGTGATATTTTCATGTTAAAATAAAATGTTTTTTTGTATTTTCTCCAAGTTATTTTTATATGTAAAGCTAAAATTAGATACAAGAATGTGTTGCATAGGGGCGAACAGTCTGCTGCTATGTCGTGGGTGAAGCGTGCACTTATTTCTAAACGTGGGTTTTTCACTTCAAGATCTGCCCCGGGAATTACCAAAGGTAGCAAAATACTTAATAGTGAAGATGGAAGATGTCTGCTACAAATGCTTATTTTTATTGTTGCTATTTTCAGTGTATACATAAACTAAAATTAGGGTTGATTTTTTTGCTCTCCATTTTGACTTGCAAGAAATAATACCTCAAGATAATCTGATTTATTAGCTATTTTTAAACATTTTTAATCACAAGCTGTATTAGCTTTGCTGCTATATAGGTGTTATGTGTAAATGCCACCTATTAATACGGGATTGAAAACGTTAGAGACACACTGCATTGCAGATAAAATGCAGGCAGCACAATATGGCCTAAACTGCCATAGTTTTAGAATGTGAAAAAAATGCATGTTTACTTACCTGTATACACCATATGCATGCACTAGAATTATTAACTAACAAGAGGTGAGGTATTGCAAATGTTCAAAAAAAGCTCTCTTGAATCTAGGTAGCATGAACAAATTATAAAATTTGTTTAAAAAAAGCAAACTTGCATGCATTATTGTGACTTCAAGTTAAAAAAATTGTCCTACATGTGTACAATATGCAAATTAGTTTTAGATTAGAGAGTGCAGCCATTTTGTGATCTGGTCAGTAGTGGAATTCGATTTTATGCAGACTGGATGTAATATTTGTAATCCCTGTGCAATTTTGTGATGTGCGGTTCTAATTCATGTGCAGTGATATAGTATAGATAAAAGATTGAATACAAGAAAAATACTAGAATTTTAAAGGAAGTTGATTTTAGCCCCTTTGATAGTTCATGGTTAAGACATCCTTTATAAACCAAAGATGGCCAGCACACTGCTAACCAGTCACCAAATGTAAGACCCACAAGAAGCCCATATTTAAACAAATGAACTTTATAGAAGAATGAAAACTTGAGTAAACCTAAGTAAAGTCAAAATGGAGATGGGGAAATATACAGATGGCTAGTTGCATAAAATTCAATTTTACCTTAAAGATAATGGTGAAATCTGGCTTGAACTTGCTTACACGTTTGACCTATGTATACTGGGGTCTTCTGTCTAAACTGGGGTCACTGTTGCATGGAACATTGTTGTTCTTAATGGTTAAGAATTGCTTTTTTTTTTAATTTTGATGAAGGAATTTTGGTAACGACTTTGCTTGCAGTTTTGGGGAAAGTGGCATGGAAACATGCAATAGTTAATGAGTTTCTCTTGGTACTGAACACTATTAGAATATCATTATTGGTATTTTTTCTCTTTAGAGCATTTTTAATGCAACTAGCCCCTATATTTTAATGTAAGAGTTACTCTGCAATCTAAGCAAAGCACCCAGCAATGGTAGATGTTTTTTTTTAAATGCAGAACTAAGATTCTTGACTCTAAAGAGAGAAAATTACAAGGGTGCTGTCTTAGAGCAACCCCTTGGGACAATCCTTCACGTGAGCAAAGTGTTGATCGTAACCTTGGTTGTCTATGGTGTGCTTTTTGTACTGTAAAAATATGTGGTTCATGTCTAACTCTGCTGTTTTATTGTGGCTGTGGTTCAAGTTTTTAATGTTTAAAGTTGATGCTGTTTTCAGAAGAGCTTTTTACTAATTTATTTGTCGATGTTCCCTATTTGTTACTTAACCATGATCCTCCAGATTTTTGGAGTATTCTTTTCTAACCTTAACCCTGCCAACCTTGATCCATTTGACATTTGTTATGCACTATTTTTATATCTC